AGTTGGTGTCATGGAGCAAAATAAGTGCTATATCTGTATGATTTCCATGCTAAAAAATGTCATTCTAATATATTCATTTGGCATTCAAATCATATATTAAATGTAAGAAATCAGTGTTACATAATGTATTTTAAAAACATTATAATTACGAGATAAATGAAATTAAATTCAATTCAATTCAAATGCATTTAATATGTAGGCTACTCATCTCGCAGTGCTTAGGTCACTGTAACGTGGGCATGCACTCTTGAATGTTACCTAATACTTACTTTGAATATTGAGGCATTTTCTCCTTGCCTGCAGGAGACAAAGCCTCATATGCAGGAGTTCTCCGTGAAAACCACGATCATCTCCCGTTACGCCTTCACGGCCGTGTCTTGCACCCTCTTCAACAGGCACGCCGCCGCCTCCGAGGGCATCTTCCAGATGCGCATCCCCGCTGACGCCTATATTTCCAACTTCACCATGTGAGTATAATAGTAAACAAAATACGTTATTACGTTAACATGCTGCTGGTAAAACGTGTTCTGCGTCATTAAGAACCGTGAGAAGTGGGATTATAGAGGTACATTTGCCAAAATTAAATTAATAACGTGGAAACCTAAGACATAGACAATACGGTTTTTTAAACTCTTATTAATTAGCAGACCTGACACAGACGCCTCAGCTCACAACTCACATAGGACCAAATGTCTAAAAGGATTACCGTTAAACAGGTTTATGGTTGCAGCCAGTCACCTGCAGAAGGGGGTGCTGGGGATGCCTGAGAACCTGCCCCATTTGGCCGAAATATAAAAAAATCCCTCACTTCAAAGGCTCTTTTTATGCTTTGTACACCGCCGCTGCCGATTGCAACGGTTAAGATTGAATTATTTTCTGCGAACGGACAATTGGCGCTACAACAAATTGCAGTGGCGGCTAAAGTGGATCAAGATCTTTATAGAGATATCTAACTTTTTTTTTTTTTTGCAAATGTAAACCACTGGGTTATGATTATGTTATCTTGTATGCATTGACCAGCAGTACACATAAATTGCAATTCACAATTTAGTTGAATCCAAAATATTAAGCTAAATGTACATAGTTGTCAAGGCAAAATTCATCACTGGCGTGCAGAATTCTTGGTAATAAATGCTGGTGTCTTCCCGTCCTGTAGGGTTATAGGGGGCCAGGTGTATCCCAGTGAGGTCAGACCCAAACAGAAAAAGGTGAGGAAACCCAAAGAGGGAGAGTCCCGTGGACGGAAGGGGGAGCGCGAAGAAAAGAGGTACGACTAAGGATGGTACTGAATGTGCGTGTTATAATCGTTTATTTTAAAGAGAAATCTACTAAATAAATGAGAATTCTTTTCACTAAAACGATTAAAAGATTTTTAAGCCATGAGGAACGTTGCACTTCCGGAATAATGATGTCACTGCTGACATCACCGTTAAAGTCAGTCTTCTGGCGAGACTGCGGGATAGCTTCTCCTTCTGTATGCCATGCAGAATTTATGCTTTTTTAGTTATAACCGAGAACCTCCATACGTGGACACACTACAAATACTTCACATTCCGTGACTGATTTAAAAATGAGGGTCATTTTTTGTTGGAGTACAGAGTTATCATCAAAGCTGAATTAGCAATTCAGAAATAACAGGCCACAGCATTGCTTAAATATTGCACAATAAGTCGTGCTCTGACCATTTATGAGGCCTGGTTCTTGTGAATGTGCTTTGCAGTGAGCAGCCCTATCTTGGGGGGTAATTCCCCCCCCCCCCAAAAAAAATGTTGTACATGAAGGGAACAAAATGAGGTACTCAGGTCCAGTGTAGTACGATAATAAAATAGAAATAAATTCCAAATAATAACAATACAATGACTAAAATAAGGTTAAATAAATAAAACAAAACAATGACATTAAGATAAGTAATATTAGGAGAATATAACTATGGGTATAAAGTGAACAAGTGGGAGTAGAGATTATTGAGGTCTGTGCACAATAAAGTACAGTATATGTGACACTGGTTGTAGAAGCAGCAACATGTGTGTGTGTAAGATCACAGTAATAAAGTGCAGCACTGAGGTTAACCTCTGCAGCAGTGCCCTGACATGTAACACTGATGATGAGTAGCAGCGTTGTAACGTGAGTGAGAATTCACAGAAAGTGCAGAAGTTAACAATCTCAGTGATATTCTGATGTGTAATACGAAAAGTAGTCCTATTAGTAATTTATTTTACTGAGATGCAGAATTTATCAGTCTCATGGCCTCTGGGAAAATGCTGTTCCTCAGTCTGGAGGTTCTAGTCCTGATGCTGTGTAGGACAAACAGCAAATGAGCAGAGTGCGTAGGGTCCCTCGTGACCCAGGAAGACGTTTTCCTGCACCTCTTGTAGGTGTTGCTGATGGTGGGGAGGCTGCTACCGGTGATAATCTGTGCAGTCTTCACCACCCGCTGCAGTGCATGTTTCTCTGCAGCAGTGCAGTGACTGCACCACACAGTGATGTAGGAGATGTGCTGTGGAATGTCTCGGTGCTCGCCTTGTCCCGGCAGCGAGGTCGGGGTGGAGGTGTTCCGTGCGGCCGCCAGCATTCCCGGGAAGACCTCGGCGGTGTTCCTGCTGACGTACGAGCATCTGCTCCAGCGGCGACTAGGGAGGTACGAGCATGTGAGCAGCCTGAGGCCACTGCAGCTGGTCAGCCGGCTGTCGCTGGACGTCATCATCGTGGAGCGTGCTCCCATCACCAGCCTGGAGGTGCTGCCCCTGCGCAATGGGAAGGCTGGGCTGGCGAGGACACAGACCACAGGTGTGTGTGTGTGTGTGTGTGTGTGTGTGTGTGTGGACATAGATCATATATGTATCTATCTGTTTCTATGTGTATATATATACGGTACTGTGGAAAAGTCTTAGGCTGGCAAGAAAACAATGTTTAAATTATCATAAGAAATTTACAAACGAGAGGAGGCCATTCGGCTCATTGAGTTTGTTTGGGGAGAACTTAACTAATATAGTTCACTACTACTATAATTACTATAATTAACTAATAGAGTTGTTAAAATCTTATCTAGCTCTGATTTAAAGGAACCCAGGGTTTTAGCTTGCACTACACCTACAGGGAGTCTACTTAACACTGTGTAAAGAAGTGCTTTCTCAAATCCATTTTAAAATGTTCTCTTTATCCATATAGATAATTATCTTTATGTTGGTGTAAAACTATGATTTTTATGTTTGTTAAAATGTGTTACAGTTGGGCTTTCAAAACCAGTATTTGCAGAAACCGTCCAATGATGAGCCACAACATAACTGTCCCCCTGTGAAGCCAATAATATAGACTATCTAGTAAAAACAGTGTGTGTCAAGGTCTGTGATATATTAGATGGCATACTAACATTCATTGCATGCAGTCAATAAGAAATGGGCAGGGATAAATATCTGAGTGACTTTGACAAGGCGCCAAATCATTATGGCCAGATGACTGGATAAGAGGAGAAGGCAAGGCGCTAATGTTCACCTACTGAGAGCGGTCAGAGGAGGGGAAAAACCATGAACTGTCGACAGGGTGTTGGGTGGCCAGGATTGTCGAAGTTGTACAAGCCAAACGAAGGCCTACTGTGGCACAGATGGCAGGTAATTTTGATGATGATCACAGGAGTGATGTGTCTCAACACAAAGGCCATTCAGCCCTGTTGCTTATGAGGTTGCGTAAGCGCAGGCCAGTCAGAGTGCCCGTGCTGTCCCCTGTCCCCTGTCCGCCTTCAAAAGTCCCAGCAAATGGGCTTGCAAGTGCCAGAACTGGACCTTAGATCTATGGAAGGTCGTCTGGTCCAGCGAATCCCCTTTTGTATCATGCAGATGTCCAGGTATGGGCTTAACATCCGGGCCCCATGCACTGTGAAAAGGCTTTTGGCCATCGTGCTGCCCATTGCTGGAACCAGCTCCCTGTGGATCTAAGACACACACCAACAGTAGCCATTTTAAAAAATACACTGAAAACGTGTTCTTTTTTCCACTGCTTAAATAATTAGGTTTATTTCACTTTTTAAAATTCATGTTCTCTTTTTACTGTCTATGAATTTTATTTGTTCTTGTTTTGTTTATTCTGTAAAGCACTATACTGCACTTTGATTCTCCTATATTTTAATCTATACCTTATTTTGACTTTTATTCCTGTGACATACTTTGAATGATCTTTGTGTATGAAATTGTGCTATACAAATAAACTTGCCTTGCCTTGTCTTACCCTCCCTGTTCTGCTGGTTCTCTCTTTCCAGCTAAGCCTACGCTACCTGTATCTACAGTGATTAAAAAGGAGAAGAATGTCTGCAGGATCACCTTCACCCCCAGCATTGTGCAGCAGGCTAAGATTGCAACAAATGGCATTCTGGGAGATTTCATCATCCGGTATGATGTGGAGAGAGAGCTTGGGATTGGCGATGTTCAGGTAAACAGTCTTTGATGCCCAAAGTCAGATGTAACTGTGTACTTAATGCATCCTTCCATTTTTTTAGCAAGATATTAAGCATTTGGTCACGGTGAACCTGCAGCCAATCTCAGGCAGCAAAGGGCATGAGGGAGGGGATATCCTGGACAGGGTACCCATCCATCCATCCATCTAACTGTCTATCCTGGTTGGTGTTGTGGGGATAGGGGTTGTGAGGGTCTGGAGCCAATTCCAGGCCACACAGGGCATGAAGGAGGGGATATCCTTGACCTGATATCTATCCATCCATCCATCCATCCATCCATCCCCCATCCATCCATCTAACTGTCTGTTCTGGTCAATGTTGGGGGGGGAGGGTGCAGGGGTCAGGAGCCAAACCAAGGCAGCAAGGGAGAGGATACCCTGGAAGGGAAGGAATGCCAGTCACATTCACACTTTAAATTGAAATTATTTGAACTGATTGTTTGTGTCAGATTTACAAACAGAAAGGTCCAAATACTGTGCCGTTGAATATAATCCTAGTCTAAGAAGCACACCAGTATGGGACGGGTGGCATTTACTGTTTGTATTTTAATAGGATGTCAGTGTCTAAAAGAAACACCTGGTTCCAGTGCTGTTGTTCTGTAGGACTCTGGAACCCAACCAGCAAACACTCCTGCCTCCGTGGGGGTTGTGTTGAGCGATATGTTAAGTGATTTGGTGGCTGTGTGTCTGTAATCGGAAGGTATCCTGTGGTCAGCAAAGTGATTTCACTGTTGGGCCCTTGAGCAAGGTCCTTAACCCCCAATTGCTCCAGGGACTGACTGACTCTGCTTTCTCAGATGTACATCGCTTTGGGTAAAAGCATCTGTTAAATATGATTAAAATTTCTCACACTGAAATGCCATACAGACCAGCCAGTCACGACCATATCGGAGAGGCAGATCCAAAGTATGACTGGCTCTCTATGATTGCGTTTGCTGACCTCAGGTCAGATGTACTGACTGTGACTCTTTCAAAGGTCTTGAATGGACATTTTGTGCACTACTTTGCACCAGAAGATTTGCCCGTGGTCCCAAAGAACGTCGTGTTCGTCATCGACACCAGTGCATCTATGATCGGGACCAAAATTCGTCAGGTATTACTCCAAGGCCTCAGGCTCTCATTGTGTGAATGACCCCAGCATAGTGGTTTTACCTTTAGGCCTGTTGGCCATGATAAAATGCCATCTTCATCATCCTGAGTGTTATCTCTCTGCCAGACAAAGGAGGCTCTCTTTACCATCCTGAAGGACCTCCGGCCGAATGACCACTTCAACTTCATCAGTTTCTCCAACCGGATCAAGGTGTGGAAACCCGGACAGTTGGTACCGGTGACCCCAGAAAACATCCGCGATGCCAAGAAATTCATCTACTCCATCATGCCCACTGGAGGTGAAATGATGTACTTGCACCACCTCCACACATCTATCTATCTAGGCAACGAAGCAAAGACATTTTCAGGCTATAGTCCTCAGATCTCAGATGAGAAATCATACATTGGAATATAGAAAACAAGTACAGTATTTAAAGGACAAAAAGAGTAACAATTTAAAAAGGCTGACGGACAGATCATCTATGTGCAAGATTTTTAAGCAGAAGTAATTAGCATAATTTAGAACTTTAATGAGAGATCCCTTCATCTCCTTCCTCGTTCTCCTTTTAACTTCCTCCCTCCAGGTACAGACATTAATGGCGCCCTGGAAATGGGTTCCTCATTGTTTAGCAGCTACCTGTCAAACGAAGGCGTCCGCGACAATGACGTGTCACTCATCATCTTCCTGACTGACGGCCGGCCCACGGTGGGCGAGCTGCAGCATCCCAGGATCCTCAGCAATGCCAAGGCGGCAGCTCAGGAGAAGTTCTGCGTGTTCACCATCGGCCTGGGCAAAGACGTGGACCAGAGGTTGCTGGAGCGTCTTGCGCTGGACAACTGCGGTATAACGCGCCAAATCCCCGAGGAGGTCGACGCCAGCGCCATGCTCAAGGGGTATGCATACGACACTCGACCTCGCTGTGATGTGGGAGGCGACAGCTAGAGCAGCGCGTAGGGATGGGACGTGTGGGAGCCACGTCGTCCAGGGCAAGGTGAAGCAACACAGGTGATGCTTGAGATCTGAGCCCTGTCATTATAACATGGTCTAATTGGTCAAAATAAGTGAGTATCTTGGCTGGTTGATCCAGTGATGCTTCATCAAAACTTGTTCCTAAGAGAGAACCATCTGCTGTATCCTTATGGGAAGAGCTTCCTCTGATCTCTTTCAGAAAGCCAATAAGAATTTGTTGGCATAATTATGGAGGTTTTTCAGCGGTGCAGAATGGTTCCACTGGATAAATGATCAAGTAAACAAATACAATACAAGAGCAGATAAACACAGACTGATAGATGAGGATCTAAAGCTAGAACTGAAACTTAAAAACTCAGCTTCTAAGAGCCCTGGAGGTCTTTCTCATGGCATGTTTCATTCTTGTTGACGAAAAGGCTGAATAATGTCTATTAAACAACATGGCCTGGTTTGACGCAGGAAGACTTGGGAACATTCTTTTTACCCTCCTCTCAAGGGGACTAATGACTGTGACTGTTTTATACCCCCCCCCCCCCCCCCCCCCCCCCCCCCCCCCCCCCCCCCCCCCCCCCCCCCCCATTCACCCCGCTTCTGCCTTGTTCGTGTAATAAGCATGTATTCCCAAAAAAATACAGCTCTCATTTGTAATAATATGAACATTAGTGTGCAGCTTCTGTCAGTTCTGGATTGGAAGTTTCATGTATGACATTGATATTTAGAATAATAGAGTATCAGCTCTCACAGGACACACACAGGGAAGTAAGGTGAACCAGTTCACAAGTTCATGGGATTTTAGGAGGTTATCGTGTTTACATGGGGAGGGGCAAAGGCCAGGATAGGCACAGACTCTGGGTTCTGTGGTTAAATCCATAAATCTTTCCTTTGTCTGGATCTTTTTAGTGTATTTTACGGAGTCTGTGTGTATTTGGGTTTGGGTGTGTGCATATCCGTGGACCCGAGTTAGCTTTACACCTTTCAGAAACTAATAGAAAGTTAATGGACCGCACAAATAAAGAACGACAAGAGGTCAATCTGTGTTCTGTTTACCTGGGTTTAATGGAGTCTTGAAAGAATGAATAAGCCAGTTACTTGACTGCAGTCCTAGAATATATGTTTAAGTTTGTAAGTTTTGGTTATATATTTCTTTACACAATGAGATTCCACCCAGGAAACAATGGCTATATGCAATGTGTTTGCTTAGTAGCATTCCTGCAGATATATGCTACATTTTATTGACTGGCATTCTAATGGATGCTACATGTCTGATGGCCTAACATACTGGTGGCTACATGCTATGCTTAATCGGCTAGTGTTCTAATGGCTACATATGTGATTGCCTAGCATGCTGGTGGCTACATGATGCATTTGATTGGTTAGCTTTCTCATGGTCTCATGTTACATTTTAAATTGCCTAGTATTTCAGTGGCTACAAGCGGCGTGTGAGATGACAAATTAGTGTTCCAAAGGGTGTACCGTGTACCGCGAAAGACTCTCACTATGTGCCCTCCCTCCCCCCAGCTTCTACGACGAGATTGGCACCCCGCTCCTCTCAGACATCCGGGTCGCCTACAGCAAGGACGCCGTGGAGTATGTTACCCAGCACTTGTTCCCCAACTACTTCAATGGCTCTGAGATCGTGATTGCGGGCAAACTGACCAATCAGAGCGCGGAGTCGCTGCACGTGCAGGTGCAGGCCAACAGCGGAGACAAGAGCGTAGTGTTGGAGTCGGACGTGCCGATCCAGGAGAGCGAGAAGGAGATGGAACGACGCCTGGCTGCGGCCGACGCTGGCCTGCCGGTCGGGGGCTACACAGAGCGTCTCTGGGGTTTCCTGAGCGTCAAGGATGCCCTGAGGTCTCGTCTGCGCAGCCAAAGCAGCCGGGAGAGGGATGAACTTGGCCGACAGGCTGCCAACCTCTCGCTGGCCTACAACTTCCTCACCCCACTGACCAGCATGGCTGTGGAGACGCCCCAGGTCCTTTTCCACAACACGCTACCAGACAGCGCAGCGGCGACCTCTTCCGGCCTTTTGGAGGCTGTGGATGCAGAGAGGAGTCAGAGGCAGGACAGGAAACCTGGGCCAGAAGGTAGCAGCGTCCATGTTGCCTATAATGTAAAACCTATATTTCAAAAGTAGGCTAGTCAGTGTTAATATAGTAAAACATTGTACAATAAGAACACTTTACATATTATTGTTATTTTTATTATTGTTCAATTTGTTGTTGTTTTGTTGTTTTTGTTGTTTTAAATAATAATGATAATAATAATAATAATAATAATAATAATGATGATGCAGCAACTACCTAATGTCTACCTAATTATCTAGTTTCTAATTAAATAAATAGGAAGGTTTTTTTTAAAGTTTTAGTATTTCTTTTACTTTTTTATGAAAGTGCTTTTCAGATGATCCTGACTCTATCTTGTCCTATTTAGGTAAACTCATACAGAGACCTGCTAAGAAATCTATTACCATCTCCAAAACATCAGGTGACTTAATCATATATCTTTTTTCATCATTTCCTGGATTGTATATTTTTGCGGATTTGTCTTTTGTGTATTTTGCTTTCTCTCCAAATAGACTGTGATTTGACTCCTTCACAGGCTTCAAACAGGGTATTGCCACATTTTCACGGCTCTCGATGGAAGGCTTGTAACTCGTAATTGGAAGGCTGAAGATGATAATTACAAAAATAGAGTTTAAATGATACCGTTGTAGACTTGCTTGAGAATTAAAGGTAAAACGTTTAAGTGAGCAATCATGGAGCTTGAGAGGAATGATTACACAGAAACCTCACAAGAGCACTTTGCTTGGAGATGCTGGACAGCAAGACGATTTTAGGAGCTGGAAGTCTCGCTTAAAAGATCACAGCTTTCTTTCTGGTATTTTCCCTAGGAACCTTGAGACTCTAACATAAAAGCGGACGTGAGAACGGTGTACTGCCTCTAATTAGCCAGTCTCCCTAATTACAGCCCTTGGTTTTCATGCTAAAGCCTCCTGGTTAACGGCAGGCTCTGGGTGGTTTGTCTTCAGCTCTCTTAACAAAGGACCCTCTGGTTCACAGTTGTTATTCCCGCATTACTTTGTCAGAGGGTAAACAAAGGATGTACAGTTGAACTACCTACGACTACGAATAAAATCTTGTGGAATTGGAAGGCGGAGTCCCCACAAGACTCTGGGACCACAGAATGTTATTTCTACATACTTTAAAAAATAAAATAAAATCTGGATTTAAAACTATGTATGAATGTATTTTTTTATTATTCTAGGATATACTTAAAGTTTCTACCTTTTAGGAAGTTTCTCCTTGCCACTGTCACCTCAAGCTTGCTCACTGGGGGCTTTGTGCATTGATAATGTAAAGTGCTTTGAGACAATGTAATGTTGTGAAAATGCACCATACTAATAAAATTGAATTGAATTGAACTGTTGGTTTACAGATACTAAACCTAAGTAACTCGCTGTTTAGTTTTAACAGTGTTTAGTTTAACCTGCTGATCTGCAGCCTCTTTTTTAGCATTAGGGTATGTATGTGATGTAATTTAACTCACCCCCCCCCCCCCCCCCTCCTTTCCCCTAGCGGATGGTGACCCGCACTTTGTCGTGGAGTTCCCCCTGAGCAAGTTGACTGTGTGTTTCAACATCAACGGGGAGCGAGGTGACATACTCAGGCTGGTGTCTGACCACACGCGTTCCGGTGAGAGACTGCCGCTCTGAATCCTACCCAGCGACCAGAGAGGCGAAGACAGCACACTAACATCACATGTAGATATCATCTGTCATTGATCATAACCATGAAAAATCTGTATCATCATATTATATCTTTATTATACTGGGACATTTGTTCAAGGACTTTTGGATTTGTCAATTTTTGGGTTTACTCTTTTTTTTTTTTTGTGATACTTTCTAATTCAGATACTGACTGTGAATTTAAGTATTATACATTCACCTACTATATAATGTTAAAATTAAACTATGTATATATTTCTCTTTCATACAGTAAAACACTACTATCACTCTGGTAACATTGTTTGATTGTATGAAACGATGATAAATCTCATGTGATAAGGTACGTCAGAGTATCCCAGAGTATGGAGGAACCTGATCCCTGGAGGGCCAGTGTGGATGCGAGTTTTTGGGATGACCTATCAATCAACCAATAATAAGACAGATGTTCTCAATTTCAGTCCTGGAGACCCACTGTTATTGGCTGATTGAGAGGCCATCCCAAAAACCTGCATCCACAACAGCCATCCAGGGATCAGGTTCCTCCTCCCTGGTCTAGGTAGATCAGAGTATGATCTAGGATATTCAGAGTATGGTCTAGGTAGGCCAGAGTATGGTCTAGTTATGGACTACATCCATCCATCTTCCACCTGCTTATCCAGTACATGGTCATTGAGCATATGGATTACACATGGACTAAATATGGCATAATTACAAGCTACATACTGATGATCAACTTTGCGAAATTGTTTGTGGGTTTTTCCTGAGGGAGAACAGTCCTATGTCCTATGGCTGTGCCACAAATTGTGTGCTGTTCCTAGGGGTAACGGTGAACGGAAAGCTGATTGGAGCACCGGCGCCATCCGGGGGCCACAAGCAGCAACGCACCTATTTCAGCACCATTACAGTGGTGGTGGACCGGCCCAGACGAGGCTACATAGAGATCACACCACGCAAAGTCATCCTGGATAGCAGGGACAGGCTGGTGCTGCCCTGTCACACCACTGTCACCGTGGAGAGCGATGGCTTGGTGGTGGCCATTGTGAGTCGGTCAAATGTCACCGTCACTGTCCAGGGCACCATCAGTTTTGTCATCCTTATTCACCAGTATAAGAACCCAGCACCTTACCAGAGGGACCATTTGGGCTTTTACATTTCCAACAGCAAGGGCCTCTCCAAGGACTCCCATGGCCTTCTGGGTAGGTTCTCCTCTGTGAGATGTGAGGAATTATGTTTGGGCTTCTTGGGGATGTTACATGTAGTTGTTGATGTTACGATACCGGGTAGATATCCCAGATAGACCCTACATCACAGATGTAACAGATTTGAAAATATATGCTGGCAGAACTGTGGTAGAGGACTAGAGTACTTGATAGATATTCCTTTTGTTACTGCGATATTCATTTAGGTAGGTATTTTTTATTTATATGTATTTCCTTATTATTCTCTTTTTAGGATATTCTGTTTGTGTAGTTTACTTTTTCAATTTCTTTGTACATACGTTGCTACTGAATACACAAGAACTTTCCTCTGTGATCAACAGTTTTCTTTTGTTTCATGTCTTGTCTTGTCTTGTTTTGTGTTATCTGCTTTTATCTTATCTTCTGAGCTCTGATAGTTAGGTCTAATTCTGATAAATTGGTATGGCTGTAACTCAGACCCCCTAAATGTCAGTCTTTAACTCTTAGGTGTTGTTGAGGTTTCTTCTGTTCGTTGTGGTTTTTGCTACCCGAAGGTACATTCTTTAATTCTTCCTCACAGGAATTTGTTCTCACCCATGCTTCTCCTTGCAGGCCAGTTCCTGTATCAGGAGGTGGGTCTTATTGTGGAGACCCTCATGCAGCCGGCCCTTCCGGCCAATGGCACATCGGGTGCCCTGCTCTATGGTTCCTCCTCCGCTCTGAAGATCAAAGACCGTACGGTGGCCGTGGTGAAAAAGACCCGGAAGATCTACAATGGTCGGCACAAGGTGGACTGTTGGTTTGTCAGGAACAATGCAGCCAAGCTCATCGATGGCCGTTACCAGGACTACGTGGTTCCACACCTCTTTGAAACCGCAGAGTCTCCTCATGGACACAACACAGTCTAAATCCTCTCTTCAGCACAGCCCCTCCCAGCAGGTGGCCTCTGCATATCCACCATTTCTTCATCCCTTCTTTACCATTTACCTTTATTCTCTTTTTCTCAGGAAACTTTGAAATACCAGCTGTTGGTTAGTGAGACAGTAATATCATCCTGAATATATATTTATATGGATTTTTACTTAACACTGCGGAAAATCAAAATTTTATTAATATCTAAAGATTGAGTTCACATCCCTAATAGTTCTGCCCTGAAATCACAGAGGCTGCGTGTGTGTAGCATTTGTTCATAACGATTGTGATGTTTTGTTTTTTGTTGCACTTTGGGCAACAAAAACTGATTGTATGTCATGGTGTCATGTATATTGGGCACTTACCTAAAAGAAGAGATTACATCATTATTCAGCACTGAGGTGACATCATTACCCAGAATTCAGTATGCCAGTTATTGAAAGGGGTTTTGTTTCAATTGAATTGAAGGTTTTACATTGAAAGCCTTAATGAGGTGTAAAATGATTGTGTGTTTATTTAATATTTAGCTATGAGAAGATAGCTTTTCAAACTAATTGGTTGAGGTTTATGCTGAAAGCTGCATTGAGCCAGAAATTGTCATTATATATCTCTACTGCAAAGCAGAGAGTGGACCGTTTGAGTTGTAAAATCCAAAAACAGACTGTGATGAAATAATGACACCCTGGCAACAGAGAATAACAACAGAATCAACAAGCTCACCACACATGTACAAACATAGCAAGGAACCTTCTGGTGCTACGTATTGTCAAGCCGTAAGTGTACATACACTGTATATAGTTATTCATTAATAAACAAAATATGCCAGCCGACTTTTTTTTAACGTATTAACAGAGAGAGTGAAAGTGGGTCAATTCAAAATTACGATGATATGAAATCATTAAATGACTCTCTTTTCCCGCCCATTGGCAGGGTCCAATTTAAGGAAGAATTTTCTATTGCTTTCCTCAAATCTTTGTGCAGTTTTTAATGTGGCAATTTCACCATGCCTGGACTAGCGTAATGGGAACTTTGAAAATCAACCTATTAAAACAAGTAAGAAAGGATTACACCTATAATCACTCTCTTACAAGAGAACAGTTTTACTGCACAGGAGATGAAGACATGTATTCTATCAAATCAGCAGGCCCAGAAGATTTCCCATCACTTGACTGGTGACCTGGAAGGTCTGATTACTGTCATACACTCAAGAACCTTTTCTACTACTGCTTTTGTCCAAGATACCATTTACAGCTTGCAGTATTAAAATTTTTGTACATTTTATACATTTGTCTTTGCTTACACAACACAGAACATACTTCATAGTAAATCTAAACCTTGGCAGTTTTCCTGCTTCCTGGCAGTGATGAAGTCATGAAGCCATAGGGGGCGGACGGGGGAGGGGGCATTCATGCTCAAAGTCCAACAAAGACCCCTCTGAAAGTTCAGAGTTTGTGTCCCGGTCAATAGTTACCCAAATGAATTCAAATACACCGTCAGCATTTCGGCACCACAATTCACAGGCTTGGCACTTGTCTGTCTTGAACATACTCAGGAACCATAAGAATATAGCTGCACAGTTGCTGGTAGATTGCTACAGGGACTCTGTGGCACATGCAAAACTGGTTTATAGCTCAGCACAATTCATCATTGGCGTCTCTGTGGCTAGGGATTCACTCACCTGCTTCAGCCATGCTTCAACCCAAAATACCAGCTTCATCCATGATAAATTCACATCAATCCATACACATTTGATGTTATCTCCTATTTAAATCCATGACAACTTCACGCTAATTTCAATTCTGATGCTGAGCAGAAATCCCATTAATTGAAAATGACTATCTATTTCATAAAGCAATTCTTGTTAAGCATTCTGCTCACTATTTTTTTGCCACTAGTAAATAAGTAGGGAAATAAACCCTGATGTCATCTCGGAGCTTTAGAGTGAATTAAAGGTCTGTGTTACCTCCTGCAATACTCCGTATTAACTCCACGCTAAGTCCTGCTAAGTCCCAACATATTAAGTCCTACTATACTCTCATCCTAACACCTGCATCCACTCAGCAGTAATCCCAGGGAGAAACAGCACCCCCACCCCAACCCCAGATCTCACAGTGCATGACGTGTGCTGGCTGCTCCGGCGAGCCCCCTTTCCACTGCCCCTTGACCCCCCCCTCTTTCATGTCTCTGATGTCACTGGGTGGAAACATACTCGAAATGTCATTTTTATTGGGATATTTCAATGGCATAATTTGTTGCCCCTTGGCAGAAGACCAGCCTGGAGGACGAGTGTGTGAGTTGGGGACGCGAGAGAATGTCCGGCCTATTTAGCCCCCACCATTCCCCCTCCCCCATCGACGGTAAAGCACACAGACGTATTGTGGTCCCAATGGAATGGGTAGTACCCTCCAATGTGATGGGCTCGGTGGGGTTCGGGGTTGAGACTTGCAATGCAAGGAAGTAATTCAGTAGTGGGAACAAAAAATGGTTTCATGTCAGGGGCAATGAACTCTCAGCTGAGTGTGACAACTTCAGAGTTAACTTTTTTGAAACTCAGTTTGACGCACAAAGCAGAACTTCACCCATCTGCCCATGAATCCTCTTAAAGGCAATCCTGTACAGGGTCAGGAAGCGGGCCTTCAGTTGAGGGTCCCAGAGGAGCCTGGAGCCTATCGCAGGCAGCACAGGGCCAGAGTACACCCTAGAGAGGGTACCAGTCCATCGCAGGGCACACATACGCACAATGCAGGTGATTCAGAGATGCCAACTCACCTAACTGCATGTACTTAGGCTGTGGGAGGAAACCAATAAAAATGCAAATACAGCTATTACTCTTTTGTTTTAGAGAAAAGTTAAATGCCTAGCAAAAGAAGCCATGTTCTCAGGAATCCATTGCAATAATCTACGATGGCACTGATATATACCCTTGAGCAGATTAATTGAAACAAGTAGTAATTTTTTTACGCTCTGATTTTCAGTTTCAATGCGGAAAGCCAACAATATGCCTTCATTAGTCACTTTTTCAGTGTGTTGGGGTTACATCAGCATACTGTATGTGGGAAATTTCATCATTGTTACATTTCCTGATGGGTCAGGCATCTTTCAGCATGATCTCACCCTGTACCATATGTCAAAAAGGGTGAGGAATTTCATAAACAAGAAGAAAATCAGGGTTCAGGACTGGCCTGGAAACTCTCTGGATTTAAACCCCATAGAGAATCTGTGGTCAATCTGCAAGCAGCACCTTCGCGGAATGGACTGTACCACAAAAGATAAGCTTATTTATGTGTTAATTTAAGTATGGTACTAGGACCCCCAAGATCATGGAAGACTGCTCAGAATTGTTGGATTTTATGGCAAATCGCATCCATGTTATATATCGAACTGCTGATATATTGATCTTGTTTCAATTAATTTGCACAAGGATGTACACATCCCTGATTATCAAGCACAGGGTTGGGGTGAACCAGAAGCCTGTCCCAGAAGACACGGGGTGGGGGCGCCATGGATGAAATACCAGTCGCTGGTCAGATATTCTTATATTTCATTAGCTAACCCAGGCTAACAAAGGCTAACGCAGGAGAATTGTGGTTCCTCTGTCTCTACTGAGGCTGAAAGGTCACAGAGCCAAGCAGCAGACCATAAATGCTGGAAGGAGAAGCGTCTGACTCAGTTTCTCCTGGACCAGTACTTCATGCCCTCTTACCCAGTCACACAGCAGCAGGAGGAAGTCCTTCCACATAAAAGGTTCCGAGCCAAAAAGACTGTCTGGAGCTGGTTGGGAGTGACAGGGACATCCACTTGCACCCCCAGCACCTCTCACATACCCCCGGCTGGGGGCAGTGGGAATGTACCATGAACATTGCTAATCCCTGCTGGGATGGAGACTTTAGTCACAGTCCCAGGAGGAGAACTCACTTTGGAAACATCTGGTGGGAAACTATAGATACAGCCTAGGGTACTGTTGTGAAGTCATTTTTGAATTGAAGTGTCTTCCCGCAAACAAATAGTCATAAAACGTTTAGCTAGACTACCACAGGAACGCGAAGGGCATGAACTTCGACTTTGGTTCTGCAAGCATGCCCCGGTTTTCGTCTCAAGGATGCTGGTGGTATTTTAAGCAGAAATGTAAATAGAATTCAGAGACGACAGGAAGGTACAGGAGACAAATCTGTGAGATTGTATTTTCGTTCATCTATGGGGATACAGTTTGTCATGTACCTAAGGCCAGTGATACTGGCTGGTGTCACCTCACACGGGGAATCCAGGGTGCTGGTCCACCTCATCCAAAGATCAACATAGGGATCATTTGTTGGTAACGGTGGTGGTGAAATTTGGCTGGTATGATTTCGGGGGGCCCAGCGAGGTGGTCTGTGCCAGGCTCTCATGCTGAGACCCGTGCTGTTGCAGGAGAAATGTTAACGATGGCGTGGGTAAGGTCTCCCGTCCTGGACAAAGCGGGCGGGGGGAGCTGTAATTGCAGTTGTGGTACTGGAATGCAGAGAGGAACAAACAAAGCTTTCTGAAGACGGGGAGGGAGGGATCTGACAGCTGTTCATACATGCTGGCGTGTAACAGACAAAACTTTGGATTAAAGCTTATCAAAAAAAAAAAAAAAAGATTTAGGCTTCAGAAAAGTTATGGAAATGACTCTGCTATCTGCAGTACAATACAGTGTCATGTGCATTAGTTTGACATGGGCAGACATGGGTAGGGGGCCTTCTAAATGGGCCATTTGGGCTATTTTTTTTAAGCCAAAAGGGAAAGGAGGGGGAATTAAAATTGATCAATTTTGGAGAGGGGGGGGGTGCCAGCTAATAATGCAAATACCAGATATGCTTCTATAAATGAAACGATTGTATTACCTTGTATGGGGTGGTACAGTGACACAGCGGTTAGCACTGGTGTTTCACACCTCTGGCGCCAAGGTTTGAGTCTCGGCCGTAGCTCAATGTACGTAGAGCTTGCATGCTCTCCCCATGTTTTCATGGGGCTTCCTCTGCGCAGTCCAGTCCCCCCCCCCCCCCCCCTCCAAGGTCCAAAAAAATTATGAGGTGAATTGGAGTTTCCAAATTGCCCATAGGTATGAATGGTGTGTGAGTATGCACTGCGATGCATTCTCCATAGCCACTTGACCAGTGCAGGGTTGTGGGGGTCTGGACCCTAACAGAACGCAGAGAATAGCTTAGGATGGAGCAGCAACCCACTGCAGGGCAGTGACACCATTCACACAGAATTTGGCAACTCCAAATCATGTCAGGGGGAAACCGCTGAATTACACAGGCAGAACATGCAAACCAAGACATGGAGACTCAAAGCCGGGTCTCCAGAAAGGTAAGGCAACCATATTGTCACCATGCTACAAGTTAAAATTATACAATCAATGATTATGAATTAAATGGGTATTTTAACAAAGTGTCCACTTTATTCGGGTGGGTTAAGGGTTTGTGAGTTTAAGCCAAGATCAGAGTCCCTTCATGATTCGGAAAAGAAGGACAGGAACTTCCAGAGAGAACAGAAAGATTCCACACAAAGCAGCCACTGTCCCAACATTTAATTCTTAACTTTTGTGAAAGAGAGGAAAAGAACATTAAAGGATGTTTCCAGTCCCAGGAGACTCAAGAATATGAAGGAGTGGACAGGAATTGACATCAGACAGTCAGAATTGGCCAGTAGAGCCAGTCCAGAAGCCTGGCCCTCGGCTGTAGGACACTGCCCCATAGTACACAGCACCAGGACTGAGCGGGATCGCCAAACACAGTGGCTCCAGTGCGATTAGCCACTGAGTCAGTACTAAGGAGATTTCTGTCAATGTCAAAGCACGCAAACAGGTGTGACGCACATTGGGGCCTGGTAAGTATGTTTGTGTAATGATAACAATGATATGTGTTGCAACAAAACGTTTTATTAATCACGATTTAGCATTAAACGTGATGTAGCATACCATCTATTTCTCACACAGTTGAAAAGTCCATTACATGAGATACAGTAGGTATGGTTATTATTATTAAAACATTTTATATGTATATGTTTTCTTTTTGACTGCTCAACACTGCATTTTTGTTGTGTTACAGAGAAAGTTGTATCTCTTAAATACTGTATACTGTGCTGTAACAAAAGACGGGGATTGTGGGTAGTCTTGCTGATTTGATTGGAAATTATTTAGGTATAGACTAGCTGGGAAAGGTTAGCTTGTCTTTACACTGAAAAACTGATATTCCTACCTTATGGCAACTTACTAGCATTGTTATCCCAATGCCTTGAAAAATAATGTGATTGTTTCTTGCAATGAACTGAATTTGTTAACAGAAGTACTTGTGGACTGTCAATGTGTGTGCATAGCACCATCTCCTGGTCTTGTAGGCCCCAGAAAGCACCCAGGAAACAGTGACAGAATGCTTGACGATAAGGGAGCACTGTATTCAGTGGGTGATACAGTAACAACTGCACATACGTGCTTCTCATGCTCTGCCATAGTCTTTGGAAAGACAAAAAATGATGTCACAGTGACGATCCCTTACCATTTTTCTCATTAATATTGGCAACATACATTTGTGTCACGTGTTAGGAAGACTGCAGTCTGTACATTTAAACACTCTTAGAGAACATAATTTAGGCTTATGCAAAATTATGAATTACAGATTTCCACGAATTGATCATTTCAGTGTGATTCTTTCTTTGTTCAACGCTGAATAAGTAAATTACAATGGATATAATAGCTCAAATACTGAGTGATCAAAGCAGCCACTTTCATAAAAATTTTGGCAAGCATGTTCTTCCAAATAGAGTTTAATCTCATCCAGTATCAACTGGCAGAATTAACGGAAAATTCGTTCTTCCACATCCTTCAAAAAGAATCATATTTGGGGTTATGTGACGGCAGGAATGAAGGGGGATTCTGAAAGGAACATAAATAAACCAGGTTTCCAGATCAGGGGCTGCTATCTTGCAGTTGATTTAATCATTACTTGGCCCGAGGACCCAGCCGGGGGGAACGCCAAAAGCACAACAGCCTCACTCTTTATTTTGTGCTTAATAAGTAACAGCAAAGAGGTACACTAACACTGGACACACCCCTCTGTTCTAAGCTCTTTAAAACACAGCACTGGTACTGCATTCGGATCTGGTTTCTTTTCCCATTCCACACCTTTATCTCTATATATTATAACGTCTGTCCATTACACGAATATCATAATTCTAATTTCTCACATACAAATGTAACTGCTAACAACAGCTTCTGTTTTACATGCATATACATTTATTTAGTGACTTCACAGATCTCGGGTTTATACTGGACTTACACTCAAAATAAGCATGCAGTTGTCAAAACCTGGAAAACCTGCTGAACATGAAGGATAAGCAATGATAAAAAAGAAAAGGAGATCACACACTGCTCCCCCAGGAGGTCACAGGGTGACAGTGGAGTTTAATAGGATTTTGGGAACAGCTAAGACAATCCTTTGATCAGGCCAGGACAAATCCACATGGCTGGTGATTAATGCAAACAAACTAATGGAAGAAACGACCCTTATCACTGAATTCCCTGTCAATACATACATTGCTTCCCCAGCCTCCAAACTCATGATAGTGTTCACCTCCAGGTTTCACAACACAGTCTCCATGTTTTCCTTTGGTGTTCATTCATATCAATTCAGGCACCAGAAGGTACACCACTGATACCACAAGGACTGAGACAAAAACACCCTACTTTCAGGACAGCTTGTCTTTACACTGTATACAAACCTGAAAGTGATGTTGATGGGTCAATGGGGGCCAAAAGGTTAAAAACATAAACCCAGATCGTTCTTCCTGACCTAAGTTTGAACAAGCAATGAAGAGTCAGTTAATAAATGAGCCCTGTTAAATACACAACTCAGATTTGTAAAATAAGAGAGATTGAGCCACAAATTACTCTGTGCTGTTTTTATTGATGTTGGGAAGAGTCGAGCTCAAATAAAATCTGACACAGAAAGTACTCACACCCCTAAACCAGTTAAAGAGTATTTAACTTTGTCACAGGTCCTCCTTGATTATAATTGTCATATTCACCCGATAATCCAGAAAGACTGACTTTTGGTTCAAATCACCAAAAGTCCAGATTCGGAGGTACTCCTGTGCCCAATATTTTTATCGATATTGTTTTCTAAAGCCCATAAGAAATGTTACCACATCTCTGAAATTACCTCATTTCATCAAATGAAGTACTAGATAAAAAGAAGAGGTGGAGCCCAAAGCTAACCCCGGTGGAACCTAAAGTTGGAACCCGAACCTGAAGTTGACCCCAGTGTCACGGTCAGCAGGGGTTACGGGGGAGCCCATGCCAGACACTGCAGCTCCTTCACTGCTCTGGAGTAGTTGGACGCTAAAGCCCTCGTGCAAACTGGTGTCCGCATTAAATAAAACCATATAGGCCGTTTTTTTTACTCCATTTACAATCTCACAGAACATGATGTCCAGTTAAAAATTTTTACCAATACACATCTTGACACTCATCCAAGTACCTACCAGGTCTATATATTACATTTTTTATATGTGTTTAAGGTGTATATGCTCTCTAGGGGGTGTCCGGTGTCCATAAATTGTGAAACTGAAATCTAATCTCTACATCAAAATATCAAACAACACAGCACTGTGGATTTTATTCAAGCTCACCGTGCACAGTCGCTTGTGATCGATTCCACCTGCATCACCCGCGCTCCCCCAGGGCCGGCAAGATTACGCTGCCTAAACCCCAGCCCCTCCTGTGCTAAGCAGGAATTAGAAGGTAAGCTCATATCTGCTATATAATGACCACTGTCTCCTCAGAGGGAACCTGGGAAGGTGCGGATGCAGTGGGATGGGCCAGGCAGCGACTTTACCCTCCCATCAAGGTGGAACGTATGTCATGGAGCTATATGAATGGTTTAGGTAATATTTCACAAGTATTCTTCACTATAAGATGCTTAGGCACCAGTAGCTGTAAAGTTAACATTGTTTTTGAACATTTTTTTATGAATTCTTGAATTATTAGTGTCAACTTATAACGAGTGTGCTAAAATGCTGGTTGCAGGTGAGTCAAAAAGAATCACTGAGACTAAACAGTCATCGCACACTAAAGAAGGCTGGATTTGGACTCTGTGGGTTTGGCTCATGTTGGCTTGAATCTCTAGCTTTTTTATCATGTCTGAGTTATTTTACCTGAAGTAAATGCTTAGATGGCTCCACCTGCTGGATTTCCGGTTTATTGCAATTTAATCTTATTTCAGCTTCCGGTCGATCTTCTTAGACATAATCACAAAATTAAATATGCCTCACTGTTTTGGAGGTGCGAACATATTAGTGGAGATAACAGTTTCTAGCTGCATCTAACACCATTTGACTTATATAATGTTCTAATGTAAAATCTAGTTTTGTTCATTGTACACTCAAAACAAGAAGTGGTCTGAGTGCTGTATTAACCTGCTTTTTACTGAGATGACTACAGAAATGCTGAGGGACGTATGCTGTTGCCTTTAGTTCTGAGAGAACAGTGAGCGATTTATAAATCATACTACTGGTATGTGTGAATAATAAAGTGTTGTTGGGCAAACGAAAAACATTATTATGTGTCTTGGATTGGTACATTAATCTGAAAATGCATGAACTCTCAGAGTTCTTTTCCTGCCTGTGAGGCACCCTTTGCTCGTACGCCATTTGTGTCCCAGGAAGTTCATAAAGGAATGCCCGAGCGGGCTGATCACCCTCCACGAGTTCCGGCGACACTTCTGTGACGGGACGGTGGGCACAGAGTCCGCCGAATACGCCGAGCAGATCTTCCGCACCCTGGACAACAACGAGGTGGTCGACTGAATTACCGCCGTACTCACTGCTCAGAGGAAAAATTACATAACAATGCAACCATTATTTGATTACCCAGGCTGCATAGGGCATAAGGTTGGGGATCAGCCTGGACGAAATATTATGTTGTCTGAATGAGTAAATACTCCTGTTCATCATGAACGCCTCTAAAGGATGGAGTAGTGGACTTCCGGGAGTACGTGACAGCCATCAGTATGCTGACGAAGGGCTCGCCGGTGGAGAAGCTGCGTTGGTCCTTTATGCTGTACGACAAGGACAAGGACGGCTCGATCACACGCGAGGAGATGCTGGAGATCATGCAGGTGAGGCGCCCATCCTGCTCCTCGAAGGAATACAACATATCCCTGCTCCCCTGCCACTCTCACCACATTCTTCTCCTATGTAAATGTTGCATAATCCTGTGATACCACAATAACGACATTGTCATTTTTAACAGGCTGTTTACAAAATGAGTGTGGCTGCGTCTTTAACCAAGCCTAACCCACTAACGGCAGAAGAGTGCACCAACCGGATATTCGTTAGGCTGGACAAGGACAATAATGGTAAGGACACATGGCAAATGAGGAACAGCTACCAAATGATTTTTAATACAATGTTTTTTAGGGGAACTAAAGCTTGTTGATATTATTGCTTATGTTAAAGTCATAATCCACATCTGTACCAAATGACAAAAAAAACTAACAGGATTTACGTGGGTTACGGTAGTCTTACTGCTACTGTTAAATTTTGTCTTGTGTCACATTCTTGCAGCAAATGATCATTTTTAAGCCTAAAATAGCGATAAAGGGTTAGTACAGCTTGTGTCACCTTTAAACCATGCATACAATGTACGCTGGTGAGACTGTGCTCAAATATAGAGAGCACAGGCATTGCATGACCGTCTCCCCTTGCAGCTGTCATCAGTCTGGACGAGTTCATCGAGGGCGCTATGGACGACAAGTGGATCCGTGAGATGCTGGAGTGTGACCCCAACACGGTCAAAGTGGAGAAGCCCAAGAAGTCCCCTGCTGTCATCTGACATTTCCCCAACTTCCTTCATTTAACCCAAAATCAGCACATTGACTCAAAGCATATTTAATACATTTGTACTTTACACATGGAAGAAATATCCTATATAGTCCCTTCCCACCAATCCAGATCGTGGAAACTGAATAAAAACCCGATAGACTACCTCCACCTTCCAAACCAAATGAGCTTGATGGGCCGATCATCATATGTTCTTATATCACAATATATGACCCCCCAAGCTGTTTCCTTCTCCATTAGAAACGTCGCCAAACTAGCAACAATGCAGTGGTTGCGTTCTGCTTCTTCAAAGGTAGAATAAGTATGTATTGTGACTAAATAATCTATAACAAATTTTGTCAAACAGCCGTAGAAATGCGCTGGTGAAATTCTTCTCTGCCGGCAGGTGACGGTAGTTAGATGCACAAAAGCTCGTCAACAGAGCAAGATTAAAAACTGAAGTAAAATCCAACAACTACTTAAACTGGGACAATTAGCATACTGAATATTTATGGATTTTAAATTGACATATTGGATCTATGCTAAAGTGCAGTGTTGTCGCTTTATTTTTAATTAGGTGTTTTGTAACTGTAAAAGACAGCGGAGGGGTGACAGATCATGGTAAGATTATCAGCAGAAGTACTGCACTATACAGCCTGAAACAAGCTGTATCCCCAAACCAGAGGAAGTTACCGCTATACCGACCTGCCGTCGTCCCCTCGGTACTCCACCCATTGAACTACCAGCTATCAGTCACAGGGTTTCCCTCGCAGAACACGATAAGAGACGCAGACAGCAATAGCAAAAGCACAAAACTTGTAATGCCTGCAAGTTACTCAGTGCCACACTCATGCACGCGCAATAGTCATAAAAGATTATTTTCATCGGCTCTGCGGTACAACGGGAAGCGAGTCGTACTTGAGCTGTTCATTTTTAATCGATTTCCTAAAATGCCCGCGCTAAATACACTGCACGTGAACGAGAACCCGCGGCTGTTCTCATTAGTACAACGTACACTACCGTGTAGGTTTGCACATTAGACAATTGACATTTTCGAGAGGTGTAGCTATTAGTACTTACGCTATAGCTTACGTACTAAACAGAATTAAATTTATTACGTCTTATTTCCATACTGCCTGCAAGAAACACGCAACTGTGGAAACTATGACAACCCCCCCCCAACCACAATAATAATCGTGTTTAGACTGATGCAACACCACCTATAGAGATTTTGCTTTTGTAGGACTTATGAAGTGGCTCTTAAAAGAGCCTTTGGGTTTCCGAAGTTTGATAGCCGCCTGCTCAACTTTAAGCGCGCTCTCCGCGGATGCGACGCGCCAGCTGGATGTCCTTGGGCATGATGGTCACCCTCTTGGCGTGAATGGCGCACAGATTGGTGTCCTCGAACAACCCAACCAGATACGCCTCGCTCGCTTCCTGCAGCGCCATAACGGCAGAGCTCTGGAAGCGCAGATCCGTTTTGAAGTCCTGAGCGATTTCTCGCACCAGCCGCTGGAAAGGTAGCTTGCGGATCAGCAACTCGGTAGACTTCTGATAACGACGGATTTCTCTCAGAGCCACAGTCCCTGGCCTGTAGCGGTGAGGCTTCTTCACGCCACCGGTAGCCGGAGCACTTTTACGTGCAGCCTTAGTAGCCAGCTGCTTCCGGGGGGCTTTGCCACCAGTAGATTTACGAGCAGTCTGCTTGGTTCTTGCCATTTTAACAAAACACTTACAACTAAGCGAAGAGAGTAATGCTCCACTGCGTTTCAGCGCCCACTTTTAAAGCATACCGGCAAGGCGCTGATTGGACGAAAGTCTTGTCGAGCCCTCATTGGCGCGTTCAAAATAACGGTACCGTATCACTGCTCCTTATTGGATCGTTTGGGCGGCGCATGCGATTCAAATTAAGGCGCGGATCTTTTGCTCTCC